ATGTTAGCTCAGAGCTGGTCTTCCTCAGCAAAAAGAGGAGGATTAACATGGATGTTAGCTCAGGGCTGAACTTCCTCACAAAAAAAAAAAGAAAAGTTCTAGAGAAATAATCTAGTGTATTGGGAGGGAAAAAACAAGATTTGGAGGCCAAGAACAAGGTTCAAATTATTTGCTATGTAATCTTAGAAAAGGGATTTAATTTATCTAAGTTTCAGAATCTTTAGCTATAAAATGGGTATATCTCACATCATACCCAAAAATTAACTCAAAATGGATCATAGATCTAAATGTAAGAGCTAGAACTATAAAACCCTTGAAAGAAAACCCCTGGAAGAAGTAAATCTTCATTATCTTGAGTTAGGCAATGAGTTCTTAGAAATGACACCAAAAGCACAAGCAATAAAAGAGAAAATTGGTGAGTTGGACTTCACCAAAAGTAAAAAGTTCTGTGCTTTAATGACACCATTAGTAAGATAAAAGACAAACCACAGAATGGCAAAAAATATCTGCAATTCATATACTTGATAATGAACCTGTTTCCAGAATATATAAAGAACTCTTACAACTCAACAATAAAAAGACAAACAACCCAATTTAAAAACGGGCAAAGAATCTGAAAAGACATTCCTCCAAAGAAGATATACCAATGCAGAAAAAGCTCATGAAAAGATGTTAAACATCATCAGTCACTAGAAAAATGCAAATCAAAATCACAATGAGATACCACTTCACACACACTAAGATGGCTATAATTAAAAAGACAGACAATAACAAGTATTGGAAAGGATGTAGAGAAATTGGAACCCTCATACATTGCTGATGGAAAAGTAAAATGGTACAGCCACTCTGGAAACCAGTTTGGCAGTTCCTCAAAAGGTTAAATATAGAGTTACTATGTGACTCAGCAATTCCACTCATAGGTGTATACCCAGGAGAAATGAAAACATATGTCCACACAAAAACTTGTACAGAACATTCATAGCAGCATTATTCATAACAGCCAAAAGCAAAAATAACCCAAATGTCCATCAACTGATGAATGGATAAACAAAATGTGGTTAATCAATAAAATGAAATATTATTCAGCCTTAAAAAGGAATGAAACACTAATTCATGCTACAACATGGATGAACCTCAAAAACATTATGTTAAGTGAAAGGAGCCAGACACAAAAAACTACACATTTTATGATTCTATTTATATGAAATGTCCAGAATAGGCAAATCCATGGAGACAAAAAGTAGATTAGTGGTTACCAGGCACTGGGGGTAGTAGGGGATGGGAAGCGACTATTAATGGGTATGGGGTTTCTTCTTGAGATGATGAAAAAGTTCTAAAGTTAGATAGTGGTGATGGTTGCACAACTCTCGAAATATACTAAAAACCATTGAATTGCACATTTTAAATGGGTGAATTTTAGGTATGTAAATAATAAGTTTAAAAAATGGGGATAACGTCTACTTCCCAGAACTAATTCAAGCATTTACTGAGATAGGATATAGGAGAGACATTTGCTAAATGCTCACTTGTTAATTAGGTGGTACAGAAACCAGGTCAGGACATAAAAGAAATCTCCCCATTTCAAGGACATAAATGGAGATGATAAACTTCACAGGACTTCATTCCAAATTTCATTGCTAGATCCAATTAGATGGTCCTTCAAGGGATAGAATTATTTTCAGTTCATGGTTTCCCAACTTACTTTATTTGAGGTAGAAATCTGAGAACGAGATAGGGAGTCCAGTCTCTGACAAGTTAAGACTTGAAATCCCGCTCAGTTTGAAACTCTATAAAAACAATTTTATCTCGTATCTACCTTACCCGCTTCCGGGCCCTTTGCCTTCCCTCCCCTTGTCTCTTTTGCCAGAAATAAAAACTCTTCTCTGAAATGAAGAGGGTGGAAGAGTTAGCACGATTTGTCTGGGCACGTCAAGATGTCTCGATTCTCTTCACTACACACACTGGCATACTTTCACCTCCCATGCTTGGCTCAGAGCTTAGGAGTCTTTTTCTTTTTCAATGAGCCCGGTAGTTTTATCCAAAGATCCTTTTGACAGTGATGGGGATCACTGAGATCCCTGAAATACATCTGTCTCTGGTGTTGCTTTCAAAATGTCCTTCAAATAATTGAAAGTGACTGAGAGGACAAACGAGCAGATCCACATTATGATAAATAACCTGCTATATCTTATTTGAAGAATATCACTTATTTATTTATCACATTCATTATTGAACATCTATTTCAAAACTGAAATGTGAAAAATATCCCAAAACATCTAATATATATTATAGGACTCTCAAGGACATATTTTAACTCCTATTTTGGAAAAGGGCCTCCACTTTTTACCTTACATACTTCCTTGACATTTAAATTTTTTTAAAACAATGAGAATACATTAATTTGGTAAGCGATTTTTTTTGTGTGTGTGTGAGGAAGATCAGCCCTGAGCTAACATCCATGCCAATCCTCCTCTTTTTGCTGAGGAAGACTGGCCCTGAGCCAGCATCTGTGCCCATCTTCCTCCACTTTATATGGGATGCCACCACAGCACGGCCTGACAACGCCCGGGATCCAAACCTGGGCCACCAGCAGTGGAGCGCGTGCACTTAACTGCTACACCATGGGGCCAGCCCCGAATTTGGGTAATAATAGTGATGATAAAACAAACAATGAAAAGAAGAACATACAAGGAGTCTAAAAAGGCCATATAATTCCCATAGTCTAAGGTTAAGTCTTCTATTTATAAACTCTGGATTGTAACTGGAACTCAACAACTTGGTATATAATTCTCTGCCTGAAGAGGCTGCTACTGCGTACACGAGAGCAGCTGCTATGAGAACTAAATCAACCACCACTTTCTCAGTAGGACTAAAAGGAAATGCAGACAGTCTTTCACAAAATTAAAATTTAACTCATAGGGAATTTAGTTCTCAGATTGTTGTGATGGACGGATAACACATACATCAGAAATTCTTCCATCAGGCATCAGTAAGCATCTGTTGAATAAACGAGCTTATTCAATTCCCCTCTGCTCTGTGCCTAGACTGCAGACAGAGTTGGTGAGAAATCACAAAAGAAATCTAAAATATCAATAAATTAAGCAAAAAGTACATCGTAACTTTCACACGGGGCCATTCAGGCAGTCTAGAAAAGGAAAACTTTAAACACACAAACACACACACTCCCCACAACTAAATGCTATTCAAACCACAGCCAAGCACCCCTTGTACTGCAGGACATTTACAAGGGGGCTGGTTGTGTCTGACTGGGAGTCCAGAATGGCTTGGCTCCTGGAGTACTTTAGGCCTGCGCAAATGATATTGGCAATGCAGGTGGGAAAACTCAGCTCTTTCCTTTCCTAATGGGAAATTCACCTAAGGCCTTGGCCTTTAAGTGCATGTTACAAACACTAACAACATCAATTAATTCAAACTTGTCCATTGTGGGGAGCTGAGAACAGAAACCATACCTCTACCTCCCATGTTCTTCATCACCAAATTAGCTACTAACTGATTAGCACACCAATTAAAATTACTAAAAACAAACACAAAAGCAACAGTTGAGATTTTTATAGCAGACCCTAGAGGCTAATGAGCTCAATGAGTTAATCAGATAAGAAGCTTATTCCAAACAGCAATGTTGCCATACTAGAATGACACACCACTGCTTCCCAAAAACCCTGTGATGAAAAAAAAAATCAATGAGAAACATCTCCCCGACACTATTACAGTTTCTAGGGAAAAGTACAGGGTGACTTGTTTTCTGATTTATGAATTATCAGCATTTTAGGTTCTTGCTTCATTGATTTGATTTCCATAAGTACCATTCATTGTCATGTGGCTTCCTGAGTCCTATCGAGTCCCCCTGTCTGCTTCTCACCCTTTTGGGAAGGGTGCTTAATTCTCTATACTCCTTTTCATGAGGCCTTTCGCTAGATTTGGAACCCACAAATTAATGGAGACGGGAAGAACAACAAAGAATCACAAAAGAGAAATAAAATTCTTGCAAAAAATGTTTTGATGACGAAATATTATATATTCTGAGATTCTTTTAGTTAAAATAGAGAGCAAATGTGCATGCTGACAGTAATCAAGTACATAAAAGGCCAATGTAATGAGGGCTCATGTGTGAGCCATTCTTTACCTCCTTGAATTAGAGGAAATGGGATTTAATCTATAGAATGATAAGTACAGTCATGTGTCACTTAACAACGGGGATATGTTCTGAGAGATGTGTCGTTAGGTGATTTCATCATTGTGCGAACATCATAGAGTGTACTTACACAAACCTAGATGGTATGGCCTACTACACACCTAGGCTATATGGTACTAATGTTATGGGACCACTGACTCTGTCACATATGTGGTCCGTCGCTGACCAAAATGTCATTATGCAGCACATGACTGTAAACATAAATAAAGACTTTCTCATCATTATGAGACACTGAAACTCGACAGGGACCCTTTCAGGAATATTATTAGAATTATGGCTTAAATCAAGTCTTAGCTAGGAGGCAGGAAGATGTAGAAAATGACCAGCAGTCTTGTGCCTCTCTGAATTTAGAGACTTTGTGCAAACACACATGATATAATCTTGGGTCCACAGTCACTCGAAGTCCTTTACCAACTTACCCTGAATAGCGGACAGATATACAAAGGTGTCTTCATGCTCCAAGTTCTCCAAGAAAATCTGGAACCACAAAATACAGCAGTAATATGATGCACAAAGAGCAAGCAAGATTTAAGAGACCCTCATAGCAGCCTCAAAAGAATAAATGCTTTTTTCTTGTTTATTTTAGCTAGACATCGGTCTGACTTGAGAATCTTGTGGGGAAAACAGTGTATATGTTTGCATTCTCACTTTTATAATAATTTTTAAAAAGGGAAGCAATTAGGAGGAGACACTTCTTTTTTTTTTTTTTTTAATAATTTTATTTATTTATTTTTTTCCCTCAAAGCCCCAGCAGATAGTTGTATGTCATAGTTGCAC